ATCTTTCTTCTATCATTGACAGTCCCTCTAGGTTGTGGGCTGCTTGCCTGTGTTCCTGAGAAGCATCTACGGTACCAGTCTATAGAGTGTGTTTTCTTTAGTGAATTACCGGTATGTTTACCGGTAATAAACTTGCACTGTTTTATGTATATGTTTGATTACATACAGCCTTGTGACAGTTTTCCTGCATGTCATAAGCATTTGAATATAAATTAAAATGTTAAAATCAAATCTGATATTGTTTTACCTTTTATTTGGTGTGTGGAAGGTGTGCGGAAGAGGGGGTAGTCTTATACGGCGAGTATATAACAAACTCTGTATTTTGAGTGGAAATGTTAGGGGGTCGTCTTATACGCCCAGTCGTCTTAAACGCCGGCAAATACGGTAATTGACAACCTACACTGAATTGAGTGTAAACTCTAGTTCTACTCTCATTTGTGAAATATGTTCCACATTAATAAAGTAGCTCTCTAAGCAAAATCAATGGTGTTGCATTGCAGCTATTCCATTATTCTACTCTTTTGTTTGTGTTTTTCTAACCTGGCCACTCCCACATCTTTCTTATCTGTATATTCTCTTTCTGTCACCAAGATTGTTGAGCCTGCTTTATACTATGAAATTCTTTAGGCGTTCAGGATAGCTTTTCATGTTTTCTAATTTTTGCCTCAACAGAAGAATTCTTCTCCAAAGATTGTTGAAGAGAATCTCCTGTTCTGATATTTTGCGAGCATTTTGTTTTTTGGAATTGTAGTGAGAAGCAAAATTTTACCCCCACATGTACCTCCAACCTAAAGTATTGAGTTTCTGCACCTTGGGTGACCTCCCCACTTCCATGCTGTCACAAACATCAGTTTCTGCCCTCTTGCTACAATAAGACCTTTCTTTACTCCCTCAAATATTTCAGATGCCTCTGACGTTTATGCCCATGTCCACTTATTCTTTCTCACATGCACTGTGAATGCTGCAGCTTATGTTTGAATTTATTTCAATTTGTTTGTGTGCCAATTCCTGAATAATTTTTGTCTGAAGACATATTTCCCCACTGTCTATGAGATCATCTTGAAAACTATTAATTTCTCTAGCATAAATCTCTCAACTGCATTAAGAATTGGCAATACATGATAGACACCTCTTGCTATAGAATGGGAAACTGACTGACACTTCTGGAAGGTACCAGCAATTCTAGGTTTCAGACCTCTTTGTTATAGAAATCTATTATATTGCTTTCTCCCCATCCCTGGCCAACATCCTATCTAGCTAACATTAAATATGCACTAACCAGCATGCCAGCCTTTTCTTTACTAACCCAATGTTCCCATAGTAGACTCTGAAAAGACCGAAGGGCATCCATCATTTGTTTTTATAATATTTATGCAAATATAGGTTGTTTCAAGTAAATTTATTTCCATGTCATTTTTGGAAACTCGGCTTATCTTTGCTATTAATTTTCTTGTTAAAAAATAAAGTATAATTAAAAGTTTGTTCTATTTTATTTCCTGTTATCCCTCTCCTCTTGGCTACTTCACCTACCTGAAAATTGTTTCCCAGACAGCATGGGAACCATGGGAGCATCTTCAACTATTACCGCTTCCTTACTGGAAGTGGGTAGCTGAGTGATTAACCTTTGCATCAGGAAAGCTTGGTTTCAGATTCTGGCTCTCTCCTGCCCTGATTTATGTGAATGTGGGAAAATTATTTAACTTTTCTGAGTCTTATGTATAAAATTATTATCTTAATTATTAATTCACTAGAGGCCCAGTGCATGAAATTCATGCACGGGTAGGGTCCCTAGGCCTGGCTGGGAACCAGGGCCAATTGGGGCCTTCTGGCTGTCGCCCCGGGGCCTTCCTTCATTTCACGCCGCCCCCTGGTGGTCAGCGCACATCATAGTGAGTGATCAAACTCCCAAGGGGACAATTTGCATATTAGGCTTTTATATATATAGATAAGACTACTGTTATAATTAAATGAGACAACCAATTGAAAATATATAGGAGAGTCTAAAGTGCCTCTTAGTTTTCTTAATGTAATTAAGTAGATCTCCAAAAGGTAGACATCAAAATGCTGAATTTCTAAATCTCCATCATATTTAGTAAGTAATCTTTGGATTGTAACTGGGTGTTAATATGAATATTAATGACACTATCTGGGGATTGGTTATACCTCTGATGACTGTTGATTCTTTTTACATGATTAGAAGCCACAACCAACTGCGTGACAAAGAAAGAGTTGACCACCAAAAGTGCAACAGTGATAGATCCTCCACTTCCAAATGATGTTACATTACAAAGTTCCCAAAACAAGAGTAAGTATAAGCATGCGTGCTGAAACGTTAACCTAGTGTGTTAAACAGAATTAGATTTGGAATGTTTTCTAGACCTCTGCTACCAAAGAACCATGCCCCACCCATACTTCCTCCTAGTCTCTGCCAACTGTGCTTTGTACGGTGACACTCTAGCTCCCCATAGCCACAAATGGCCGGATGCCAGCGAAGAGCAATTCAGTGGTGGGCAGTCACCTGTGATATCATCTGGCACAGAAATGTGAGCCTGGCCAACAAATTAGACAGTTTGATAAAATAGGAAAATTCTTAGAAAACAAATTTCTGAAACTGACTAGATAGGAAGTATGAAATGACCTAAAACAATGATAAATATTGCATTAGAAATTTAAAATGGTTCCATGAAGAAAGCTCAATACAGGATGGCTTCACTTGCTAATTCTGTAAAATATTTTGAAAAGAAATGATAATTACTTTCAAATTCTTTCAAGAAGTAGAAGAGGGAACAGCACATAAGTAATTATCTGAGGCGAGTGTTATCCTAATACCAAAGCTAGAAAAGAATAAAAAGAAAAAGCAAGCCAAGTAAACTACAGACCAAATCCCTCATAAATATAGATACAAATATCCTACTAAAATATTAACAAACCAAATTTAATAACATATAAAAAAGACAAAAATACGAACAAGTAAGATTTATCCAGGAATGCAAGATTGGTTTAGCTTATTAAAATCAGGTAATGTAATACACTATAGTAGAATCAGTAGATACAAAATTAAATACACACTAATAATTAAAACTCTCCATAAACTAGAAATAAAATGATACTTCCTCAAAATGATAAAGGACATAAATGAAAAACATACAGCAAACAATATACATAATAATGAAAAACAATGTCTTTCTCTTAAGATCTGGGACATAACAAAGATGTCTATTCTCTTCACTTCTGTTCAAAATTATAACCAAAGATTCTAGATAGTACAATAAGGTAGTAGATAGATAGATAAACAGATAGATCCATTCATCCAGATTTGAAAGAAGAAAACAAAACAGTTTTTCTTAGCAGACTACATCATTATCTATGTAGAAAATCCATAGGGTCCACAAAAATTACACAAATTAGTAAAAAATATTTTATATCACAGGACATGAGATGTATATTAGCAATGATGACTCAAAAATAAAATTAAGGAAATAATGTCATTTACAATTGCATAAGAAACAATGAAGATATATAGGAATAAATTTAACAATATAAGTGAAAGATTTGTACAATGAACTATAAAACATTTCTGTGAGAAATTAAATATCTAATTAAATAGAAGGACATTACATTAGAAGACTCAATATTTTAAGATAGCAGTTCTCCCCAACTTTATAAATAATTAATTAACATCCTATCTAATAAAAGAGAAACATGGTAATTGGTGTACGACCACTACCCTTCCCATTGGCTAATCAGGGCGATATGCAAATTAACTGCCAGCCAAGATGGCGGCCAGCATCCAGGCAGCTTGAAACTAACATGAGGCTTGCTTGCTTCAGTGATGGAGGAAACCAACGTTCTCCGCCTGCCTTGCAGACCTCTGAGCCTGAAGTTTGAAACATTTTAACAAATACAGAAGCTAAATAAAAACCCAGAAACCTGCTTTCAGCAAGCCCGGGATCTCAGAGCTAAAGTTGATACAGAGTTTCGATTATAAAAACAAAACAAACCAGATACCTACTTTCAGCAG